TTTAAGCCACTGATTCTTTTTTTTTTTTTAAGTTTTTATGGAAATAAAACACACGTACAGAAAAGTACGTTTAAGTGAATGACTTGATGAATTTTGGCAGCTGGAGCACCTGCATAATCAGCCCCCAGATCAAGAAGCAGAATATGTCCAGTCTCCCCGGGGAATCCCCCCATGTGCCCCTCCTAGTCACTACACCCCAAGGGGGTGCCCACGTCCCCCTATTCATCACCCCAGATTCACGTCACCTGTTTTGTATTTTCTATGTATATGGAATTGTGTGGCATATTCTCTTTGTGCCTGGCTTTCACTCAAAATTGTATCTGGGAGATTCATTCATATTGTCTATATCTGTATGTAGTTCATTTTTTTAAATTTTGCATAAAAATGTGTGATTTTTGCACATGCTAGTGTCAGAATAAACCATGGTGCATTTATCTACTCTACAGGTGCTGGGCATCTGGGTTCTTTTCACTTAGGGTCTCATGCGCAGCAATGCTGCAGACTTTCTCAAACAGGTGCAAGTAAGCATGTTTGTGGGGTGCAGACCCAGGAAGGGGATAGCTGGGCGTACCCTTCATCCGTTTTTATAAATGAGGGCAACAGCACAATGCAAAACTAGCCATGAGACCTGCTTATCCTGCTCATCCAGGGGCCGCGAATGACAAAAGCAAAAAACGGCAGATGGTACTTGCTGGCACGTACTGGCCAATGCTGTCTTTGAGGCACACTCATAGTCCTTAAGGGGCAATCTCACGAGATTCTTGGGAAATGGAAAAATACACTTCAATTCTGTAAACTGTATGCAAAGTCATTTTGTTGAGTCTTCCTTGGAAGTAACCCACCCACCTGGAGCCCACACTGGGAGTGACCTGGTCTCTAAGTCCTAACTCCTCAGCCCAGCATGGCTGCTCGGGTGCAACATGGCCATGTCCCCGTGGCCCTGGACCACGTGCCCTGTGCCGGCTCACCTTCAGGCCTGTGCCCAAGCTGTGCCCACTGCAGGAAGGGCCCTCCTCGTTACTAAAAGTCCACCTCTTACCTTTCCAATGGTGTGCTGTGGCCAGACCCGAAAGTCTCTCCTCCAGCGTGGGTCTTCTGACCCTGGGTCAGAATTAAGCCCTTCCTCTCCTGTGTTCCCATTCCCTCTTTAGATACTGGTGGTCTGTCTTCACCCCGCTGGGGAGACATCCCAGAGGGCAGCTCAGGGCCTGGCCTGAAGTCAGTATTACAGGCTAATTAAGTTAGCAATCGACAATACGGACAGAGAGCTACCACTCTTTGAAGACTCACCCTGCGACAAGGTTTTTTATGTGGCTTTTCTTCCCTGATCTTTGCAACAACCCTGCAAGGCATAGTCTCATTTTATATAGATGGGGAAGTGAAAGCACAGAGAGGTGAAGTAACTTACCCAAGGTCACACAGCAAGCAAGTGGCAGAGCTGGGATTTTAACCCAGGACACCCGGGCCCATAGCCCACATTCGTGGCCCCTTTGCAGTGGTGCAAGGAATAATATGGTAACAATTGCAGGAAATATGGATTGGGGGTCTATATCAGTGCATTAGGGCTGCTATGACAGAATACAGACCGGGTGGCTTATAAACAACCCACGTTTATTTCTCATGGTTCTGGAGGCTGGAAGTTCAAGATCAAGGGGCAGAGATTCTGCAGCTGGTGAGGGCTGCTTCCCAGTCCGTAGTCCACTGTCTCTCGCTGTGTCCTTTCCTAGCAAAAGGGGCACGGAAGCTCCCCATGGTCTCTTTCATAAAAGCACCGATCCCATTCATGGGGACTGCACCCTCATGACCCAGTCACCCCTGAAGGCCCCGCCTCCTCACGCCATCACCGTGGGGGTAGGATTGAAACATACGCGTTTTGGGTCGTTCAGTCCACTGCAAAGTTCTGTAGTCCGTGCGACTGGGACGTCATTTGCTTGTCGCTGTTTTTGCAAACTGACTTTTTCACTTGACCTGACACTTGTGGACGTTTATCACATCATTAAATATTCATGCCCCACATTTTAATATCAATCCAGTAGTATAATTTTTTATTTAGCCATAATTGACATTTCCTAGACATACATGAAGTTACACAGCTCCGTAAGCTTGACGAATACATATCCTTGAATAACCACCACCCAACACAAAACATAGACTATTTCCCTCCTTCCAGAATATTCCCTCAGTAACCCTCCATGCTCAGAGGCAACCACTGATCTTGGTTCCTGTCCCTATAGACAAAGGTTGCCTCTTCTAGAACCTTCTGTAAGTGGAATCATGCAGAACACAAGTATTTGTGTCTGGCTTCCTCCCCGCCGCACAAAGCATTTGAGATTCACCCACACTATTGCGTATTCCCGCGGTGCGTTCCTTTTGCACTGCTGTGTCGTATTCCACGGCGTGGCTGGACCACGGTCTGCTTGCAACGCTGATGGGCCTTTGGCAACTGCAAGTGAAGCCTCTGTGAACTCATTCATACCTGTGCCTATTTGTAGATACTTTGTGAGAATTTATCCTTGGATTTTGCTCCCTCTCGCCAAAACTTCTCCCGCTGGGGGACGCTCACGGTGGTTTCCAGCATGGGGCGCTTCTAAAGAATGTTGCAGTGATGGTCCTGGCACCTGATCGTAGAGCGGAGAGGGGCCAGTGCAGGGGGTGGGGATGAGGGGCGCTTTTGGCCCCCAGGGTGGCTGGAGCAGGGTGAGCGATGGGAGCCGATGGCCCAGGGAGGGGTTGGGGTTTTGCTAGCAGAGCAGTGGGGGGCACTAGGAGGATTCGGAATGGGGAAACGGTAGGACTGGCCTAGCGTTTGTTGCGGGGGAGAGGAGTGGAGGTCAGGAGACCCTTGCGCATATCCTGAAGGGCCACCATGACGGACTGAAGAATGAATGGGCTGCGGGCAGCCCTCGAACCCTTGCCTCCACTGGGAAAAGCGCCGTGACACCCGGGCCATGACCATCTGATAATAGGATCTGCTCGGAACAGCTGCCTGGTGACAAGTATAATAAAGCGTATTAATGAGGCCATTATTACTCCCTAATTAAAAGCTAATAACTAAGAGTTAATTGCCTTTAAAAGATGAAGCAAGGCTGGGCTGGGATTTATCTCTGTTTGCCTTTGCTTGCCTGGATAGGCTGATATTTGGAAACTAATTAATTGAATCAAATCTTAAGAAAATTAATAATCTCCTCATGCCATTTGGGCTGTGAATTAAAAGGTGTTTGTGGTGTGTGTCTGAGTGTCTTCATCTTAAGAGTCCTGCGCCTTCCGTTCTTGCAGCGGGGAGCTCAGGGGCTTGGCAAGGGCGAGGCGGGCGTCTGGGGGCCGCTCATGCCCGTGGTGCTTGCTCGCCCTCGGCCGGTGGGGCCCAGCGTCCACGCGCCCCCAGGCAGGCTGCCCAGAGCCGCCCGCAGACCAGACAGCCCAGCCAAGCCTGTGGGCATTTCCTGTGCTAATAGCCCTGTTGTGACCTGTCATGTTGAACTAGCTTCCGACTCACAGGAAGTGGCAAAAAATAGGGCAGAGAAGGGCTGCGCCCACTTCACCCAGCCCCCCCATGATGTCATTTTACACCTGCCTCGTGCCTTGTCGAAATCGGGAAATCGGCATAATCTGATCAACTCGGACACCAGCCTCATGCAGACCTCACCAGGTGTTCTCTTTTTACTTTTTTTTTAAAGATTTATCTATTTATTTGAGAGAGAGAGAGAGCGGGGGTAGGAGGGGCAGAGGGAGTGAGAGAATGTCCAGCAGACTTCCTGCTAGCATGGAGCCCCACGCGGAGTTCAGTCCCAGGACCCTGAGGTCACGACCTGAGCCAAACCCAGAGTCAGAGGCTTAAACAACTCAGCCACCCAAGCACGCGAGGCATTCTCTTTTTAAAGACTTTTTAAATCCATATACATAAAATAAATAAATAAGAAATAAATCCATATATATACATTTTTTTTCTATTTTGGGACATAAATCACATATCAGCAAGTTCAACCTTTTAAAATGTACAATTCAGTGGCTCCTATTGTATTCACAAGGCCGTGCACCCACTACCTCTAGGTTCCAGAACATTCCATCACCCCAAAAAGAATCCCCGTCCCCATCAGGGGTCACTCCTCATCCTCTCCCCAGGCCCCGGCCCCCATGAGCCCCCTTCCATCTGCAGATGAGCCTGTTCTGGACGTGTGATCCACGTGGACTCACACCCCACGTGGCCTTCTGTGCCTGGTTCCCTCCCTGAGCGTCATGGGCTCGGGGTCCGTCCCTGGGGCCGCGCGTGTGGGCCCCTCACTCCTGCTCGTGTACAAGTTTCTGTGTGGACGTGTTTTCAGTTCTCTCGGGATCTGTATTCATTTTTAATTGTGGAGTTTTTAAATTGCACGCATAAAATGCAAATAGGCCACTGATCCTTGTGAGCAAAGCTCGTCTCTCTCCACCTCCCCCCCAACCCCCTGCTCTCAGGGGGAGGCCCAGCTCCTACAGCGCCGCCCTCAGTGTGTCTGGAGACTTCTATGCGCCCCCACAGATGCGCACACACCAAGATGAAATCTCGGTTCTAGTGAAATTTGACTGTACTCCTTGTTTGTTTTTCTAGAAAATCCCCATAGAGTTACCTCCTTCTTTTCCTTTTTCCTTTGTGCTTGTGCACTGAGTTATAACTTAAATACAAAATGGCGCCTACCTCTGTATCATATACGCACCCCTGGGATGCCAGGACCCTCTGGCCCAGCCAGATGTGGCCCCCGGCTTGTTTGGTAGGGCCTGAAGACGAAGAATGCTTCTACATTTTTAAATAGATTTTTTAAAAAGAAGGGGAATATCTTACCCCACACAATTGTATGAAATTCAAATTTCTGTGCCATCAACAGAAGTTTTCTGGGGACACAACCACGCCCATTCACTTCTGTATTGTCCGCGGCTGTGTTCACAAGACGAAGACAACGGAGCAATTGTGACAGAGACCCTCTGCCCCCCGGAGCCTGACGTATTCCTTCTCTGCCCCTTTACAGAAAATGTTTGCCACCCCTGCCCCATGAGGACTGATTGGCGGGTCCTCTTCCTGCCCTGAAGGCTCGGAGTGGTCCCCACAGCCAACCCCTTCCTCCTTTGCTCCTACTTAATAAGATCCAAACTTTGGGTCACTTATTTGTGCAGTAGTTAGGTAATGGTGTCCCTGTGCCCTTCTTGTGCAGGTTGAAACTGGGGTCCCCGGCCTGGCTTTTATGGAGCCCCTAGACTGGGAAGAGATAGAGCCAGAACCAGACACTCCTCATCCTATGGGGTCGAAGCTGGGGCCCCCAGAAAGCTGTTTGGGGAAGCCGTTGATGGAGCCAGGCTTTGGAGGACTAGAAAAAGTAGTCTGGGGAGAAGAGCATCAGGTACAAAGGTGCCATGAGGCAAGGCAGGGGGAAGTGCCCAGAGCTGGAGGGGAGCAGAGGTGCAGCGGGACCTTGAACTCCAGGTTAAAAGGAGGCACTGCAGCAGAGAGCGACAGGGGTCCATCTCAATCAGGGAGTTGGTAGTGCCCCTCAACTGCTCAATAGCCTTCCATGGCTCCCCATTGCCCCTGGGATAAAGTCCAAACTATTATGAGCATGGCTTGCAAGGGCCATTGGCATCTGGTCCCCCTTGATTTTCTGCCTCGAGTTCATTAACTGTTGGTAGGTAAACTAGGGCTGCAAGGGAACACCCCGTCGTCACCACATTGCAAGGGCTGACTGAATATTTACCATCACCAGCCAGGTTCTGCTCTTAGGCCCACTAGCATCCTCTCCCTCCCACCCACAGAGCTCCCTTCAGCATTTCTCCCAAGGCGGGTCGGGCGCTGAGGACTCCCTCTACTTTTGTTTGTTTGGAAGGTCTTTTTTTTTTTTTTTAAAGATTTTATTTATTTGAGACAGAATGAGATACAGAGAGCATGAGAGGGAGGAGGGTCAGAGGGAGAAGCAGACTCCCTGCCGAGCAGGGAGCCCGATGCGGGACTCGATCCCGGGACTCCAGGACCATGACCTGAGCCGAAGGCAGTCGCTTAACCAACTGAGCCACCCAGGCGCCCCTGTTTGGAAAGTCTTTAACGTGCCTTCATTTCCGAAGGACAGCTTTGTAGGGTATAGAATTCTTGGTGGACGTGTTTTTTTCTTCCAGTCTTTTGAATAGGCTGCCCCATTCGTTCCCGGCCTGAGGGGGTCCTCTAGTCATCTGGGGGCTCCCCAGCACGTGGCTTGTCTCTCTTCTGCGATCAGCGTCCTCCTGTGGGTGAGGCCGTGGCCAGAACCCCGGGGTGGCCGCGGTGCTGCTGGCTGGCTGGCTTCCCCGCAGGTCAGGCTGTAGGGTGGGGGCTGCCTCTCCCCCCTCCCCAGCCATGCCTGCTCAGGCCTGCGGGTCAGGTGGGGCCGGCGCCTCCCCTGATGGCCCGCCAGCCTGCAGATCTGCTCCCGCATCTGGGCTGGGGTGCAGTGCAGGCCAGGCTCCACTCTAGCCCGAGGTCAAGCTCTGAATACGCCCCTGCACCCCCCAAGGGGACGAGACTGGAGTGGGGGGGAGCTGGATGCCCACCCTGGACTTCCTTTTCCCCCTGAAGCAGCTGCGGGTTCGGGAGAGACCCCACGGGTAGTGCTGCAGCAGCCTGGGGGAAGGGCAGTGGGGTCTGCGTAACGTAGGGAGTGCTGCGGCCTCACCCCTGCGTTCCAGGATTTTCTCTCCTGCGGTCTTGTCCGTGAGTCATTGTTACTTGTTGTTCTCGTGAGGGAGCCAAGTCAGCAGCGACCTATGTCCCATCTTTTTTATTTTTAGGGTTTTTAGATTTTATTTATTTATTTGAGAGGGAGCGTGAGCATGAGCAGGGGGAGCAGCAGAAGGAGAGGGAGAAGCAAATTCCCTGCTGGGGAGGGAGCCTGACCCGGGGCTCAGGACTCGATCCCAGAGCCCTGGGATCATGACCTGGGCCGAAGACTGACACTTACCTGACCGAGCCAGCCAGGCATCCTGAACTCTGTCCCATCTTGGTGACCTCCCCTCTCCGATTCTCCACTTTTACCCTCCAGGCAGGTTCCCTCACTCGCCTTCTCCAGGCTGTGCAGAGCTGCTCCCTCTGCTTGCAGCAGCGGCCCCTTTACCTGTCTCCCCTTCTCTTTATCCTTGGGCTCTCAATTTGGATGTCCCCTCCTCCAGGAAGTCTTCCTGCTCCCTGAGGGCACTGTCCTGCGCCCAGCTCTCGTGAGCTCGCTGCCAAGGACAGCTGTGTTCCAGGCCTGGCTCTCGGTCTGTGGGTGTGTTTCCGAGTGTGCCCGAGTAGCATGAACTCCTCAGAGGTTCCACAAAGAGAGGGAGATGTATTTGTAGACTGGGGTGAAATCCAGAAAGGGCTTGACAGCACGGCAGGACCAGCCCGAGCACAGTCCCAGAGGCAGGACTTTGCCAGAATCGGCCTGAGGGGGCGGAGTCCACGCCGAGTGTGTCGGGCCTCCTGTGGGCTCATCAGGATGCTTCGATGCCTATGTGGACCTGCGCCGCGTGGCCACCTGCCAGGGCCCCGAGGGTGGCAAGAACAATTAGCGAGTGATGGATTGTGCTTCTGCGGGTCTTGCTGTTGGCAAGGCTGATTGTTTAAATTTTTTTTAAGATTTTTATTTATTTATTTGAGAGAGAGAGAGAGCATGAGAGGGGGGAGGGTCAGAGGGAGACGCAGACTCCCCGCTGAGCAGGGAACACGATGTGGGACTCGATCCGGGATCGTGACCTGAGCCGAAGGCAGATGCTTAACCGACTGAGCCACCCAGGTGCCCCAAGGCTGATTGTTTAAATGAAGCTTCTCCCAGGGCCATGGGCAATGACGGAGGTGGTGTTTCCCAACTCCTGGCCCCACAAAGTTCACGGTGGGCCCGATCTCTGCGGGTGGCATGGTGAGCTCTGCAGAGGTCCCCTGAGCTGTCTCATTCCTAGTGCTGTGGTCTCTTAGGAAATCATTTGATCTCTGCTTGCGTCTTTGCTGCTGGGGAGGTCTGTCCTATAGAAGACCACAGACTTCAGTCCATTTTTCCTTTAAGCTTTTTATTTTGAAATGAATCTGGAGTGATAGAAAGTTGCAAAGACAGTACAGAGAGCAATTCTGGGCGTCACTCAGCTTCCTCTGATGGTTTGCATCTTACATAACGGTGACTGTTGTATCCACCAGGAAACTGACATGGGTACAGTGTGTCTAATTCTGGGCGGTTCTATCCCCCCGGGGCAGACACGGAACTGTTCCATCTCCTTTGCAGTCCCTGCGCTCCTAACCCCTGCAACCGCAGTCCCCTTCTCCACCTCCATAATTTTGGTTCTTGCAAGACTGTTATAAAAAGGGGATGATACAGGTATGTTGCACTTTGAGATCGGCTTATTTCACTCAAAGTGATGCCCTTGAGATTCGTCGGAGTGTCCTGTGCGTGAGTGGTTTGTTTCTTTTCATTACTGAGTACTATTCCGCAGCGCGGATGCGTGGCAGGTTTGTTTAACTCTTCACCCGCTGTGGCTTCTGCCTGCTGTGTATAAAGCTGCTGTGAGCAGGCTTTTGCATGGACGTACGTTTTCATTTCTCTGGGATAAATGCCCAGGAGTACAATTGCTGGATCGTATGGTAAGCATTTAGTGTTTTAAGAAACTGCCAAGCTGTTTCCCAGAGGGGCTATACCAAAGCAAGACATGCGAGCTGGTGTCTGTGTGTTCCGAGCATCTTATACCTCCCTTCAGGCTTGTCCTAGAAGCCCCACACCCAACTCTTGGCGGTGGGGCGGGGGTTCCCGGGCCTCTCCTGGGAGGAGAAAATGTGGGCTTGTGATTCTGTGTCAGGAGATTGCCTTAGCCTTCTTTCTCCCCGGAGTGAGCTATGCACTGAATGTATGCATCACCCCCCGGGATGGGACAGGTATTTGGAAGTGAGGCCTTTGAGAGGTAGTTGGGTTTGGATGAGGTCTGGAGGATGGAGCCCTCAGCATGGGATTAGTGCCTTTGGAAGGAGATGAGGGGACTGGAGCACGCTCTTTCTGGGCCATGTGAGCACGCAGCGAGAAGGTGCACCTGCACACCGAGACAGGAGAGCTCTCGCGGAACCCGACCTCACCGGCACCCTGATCCTGAACTTCCAGCCTCCAGAACTTCGGGAAAAAAGTGTCTGTTGTTAAGCCACCCAGTCAACAGCATGTGGTTACGGAGTTTGAGCCAATTACGACAGGCTGGGAAGCTCCTGGCCCCGGAATGCCAGCCCCTCCGAAGCATACGGGACCCAAGATGCTCCCCAACCAGCAGACAGAAAACCCACCCAAGTCAGGCACTGGAATTTGAAGCAAGAGTTGGAGGGTTCGATGAGCTTTATCCTAAAAAAATAAACTCTGCGATTGGCTTTATTTTATTCTGTGATCTGTACAGTTTTACGATCGCAACTGTGTGTGAATCCTTAAAATAAACACATGGTCAAGTGTTTGCAACAATTTTGGCATATTTTTGTCCCCCCCTCCCCAAATCACACCCAAGGATGACACATCTCTCTCTCTCTCTCTCTCTGCCCCTTTGATTCTGCAGCACAAACAATCAAGGGGGCATTTCTGGGGGGAAAAATCCATGAGTTTTTCCAGGAGTCTCTTAATCCATTGCTAATCAGATCTTTCTCTTTGGGCTCTTTAACCTTTTCTTTGGAAATAATTGTAGACTTCCAGGAAGTTGCAAAAACAGGACACGGAGTCCTGAGTAGCCTCCTGCAGCAGTGAGCTCTTCGATAGCCAGGGGACGTTGTCAAAACCAGGTCGGTGCTGTTAACTCGACGACAGTCAGACTGTAGTTTTTCAACACGTATGCATGTGTGTGCACGCGCGTGTGTGGGGTTCTGTGTAGTCTATTCCATGTGTAGATTTGCGTGCCCATCACCACCAAGACGGAACCGCTCCGTCTCCTGGAGTGATTCTGTCAGGAGACCCCTTCACGGGAACCCCACCTCCCCTCCCCTGTCCTCAGGAAACTGCGAATCTGCTTTGTGCCTCTCTGGGCTTGCCATTTTGCGAAGTCA